CCTGTCGCACCGGCCCTCAACCAAAGTAGTACCCTTTGGCGCCAACGCCCCGGTCAACGTCAGCTCAGGAACCAAAATTCAATGACAGGGTTCGGTAATTTCATCCAGGTCGCTACAATGCTTCGTGGAGTGATCTGGGCCTCATTTTAGCTGCCACGTGCACAGAGTGTTAAGGGAGATGAAGTATATGGTAAAGAAACTATTCTACTTTCAATTGTCTTGCAAACGTTAGCTACGACCGGGAGAATGTCTTTGACAGCTCCTACCGCCTGCCAATCAACCTAACAAAGGGAGTGGAAGCCTCGGTCCAGACTTTAAGTGACTGGGCAGAATTACTAACAGAGGCTTCCTTGAGTTTTGCCTGTCCTTGTTCCCTGCCTGCCTGCTAAGGGTACCGGAGCACCACGTACACTAGTGAAGACACGATTTCCCTTACAAATGACACTTGTTTGCATAAAAAGGAATCGATTGGGAAGAAAAAAATAAAGTCAGTAATAGTAGCGGTGAGACTCAAAACCGTGGCAAATCCTGCAGGTAGCTGGTGGCTGCCCAGCCTTCGGGGGCCTCTGTCGTTTTGGCGAGAACCCGGCTCAGGGTCAGCCCGAGTGGGGTCGAAAGCCAGCCCTGCCACTCACGGGACGGATGATGTCCTGACCCCTCAGCTCGGTTCCCCTGTCTGGAAACAGGGTGGAAAGGCCTCTCGGCCACGCCGTGAATGTTCCCGGAGCAATGCCCACATGGCCTTACTTGATGCAGTAAATGCTGGGGCCCTTCCTTGGCCGCTGATGTCACAGGAGAAATCGAACAGCGTCTTGAATCCGGGCCAAGACGTAATCATTTCTACTCAAAGGGCGAGAAAATTACAAATTGAAAATACACAGACTTTGGAGACAGGACGGATTCAGCTTCTCTGACCTGGAAACTCCGGAGCCATTTTCCCCATCCGGAAAAGGAGGATGGTTAAAAGATGTGTTTTGCACGATCGTTGGGAGAATCCGCAGTAATCTGTACGATTAAATCGCGTCATCGTGACTTAATCGTGGAGGACATAGTAGGCACTCAGTGAATAACGGCCGTTCGTTACCATCGGGGTCGGAATCACCACCGTGCCCCTCCCTCACACACTATCTGCCTTCGTCACTTGGATTGTATTCCCATAGGACATTTTCCAGTGTTCGGAGGGGCATCATGTAATAGACGGCTGGAGTGAAGAAGCACCAGGATGCCCAGGGCTCATTCTCCAGGGCTCTGGGAATCTGGGCTTTCCGGCTATCATTTGTGTGATTCAGGTGTAGCTGTAGAGTCTAAGCAGAGATGCCCTCACCTCATGAATTTGAGGCTCGGGAGCTCAAAGCCCGAACTCAGCATCCTTTTCTGCAGGTGGTGCTTTCATTGTTGAATCGTCTTGTTTTCCCACTCATGGTTGCTTTCTGCCTTCCACGAGGTCTCTTTTAAGGATTAAAGGCTGGTAATATGGCTCCTCGAAGGGGAGATTTTGTGAGGCAGGAGCCGCTAAATGTGAAGCGAACTGTGATGGAGCGGTCACATTGCGACCGTGACAGCCCGTGGTTCCCAGTGAGGAAAAGTGGGTGCCGGGTGGCCAGTGGCCGGTGGCCGGAATGAAGGCCCTCACTGGTATGGTTCTCCAGAGTCTCCTCCAGGTGACATTGCCATAGCACTAAGTGACAGTGTGCAGCATGAACATCTTGTGATATTATCAGGAGTTTGAGATTTTGCTTCGTTAATTAACATTTTTGTTTTGCTGAAATTTGGGAGGGCACTGACTTTTCAGAAGTGCTGATTACTAAGCTCACAGCAGAGGGTTGGCTGCACATTCAAACACTGTGTCACATGCTCCCAGCTGAGCTCAAAGGTGTCCTCCCTCCACCGAGCCAGCTGTCCAGACGGTGGGGGGAGGCCCTGGCCCATGCCCCTCGCAGAGCAGGGCTTCTTCTGAACCAGGCAGGGTGCTGGGGTCCCTGGGGCTCGGCCGTGACATAACATCTCCACGCTCTCCCCAAGCACATGCACGTGCACACGTGCACACACGTGATCCCCGTCCACTTACCTGATCTCACCTTGCGATGGCCATGTGCTGTCAGACGCACAGGGGCATAATTTTATGTTGAGGCCTTGTCCTCGGCTTTGAAAAGGAACACACCGGAGCCCTCCAGCCTGACGCGGGGTTCTGAAGGTGAGCAGGGACCGGAGGGGTTTTGCCCCGGGCGTGGGCGGCCGCCTTGGGGCAGGGTCTTCACGGCGGTGTTTCAGACGCTTGGTCTCGACTGCGGTTGGTGTTTTGAAAGGATGAGGAAGGCGGCGAGAAGAGAGACTTTAGATGATCCACGAGGCTTCCTGGCACTGAGCTCGGCCCCGTGGCACTAGGTCCTGTATCAACTGGCCGGAGTGGACATCGGATGTGACACGCTTCGCAGACTTTCGACGGGGAAGGCAGAGGTGGGGGCTGTGAGACCCTGTCATTAGGATCCTGTCCGCTGCGGTCAGGGCTCGTGGTACTTCTTTCGCCACGAATGCGTCACCTGTAAGTGTGCTTCCTAACCCTCAAGTTCCTCTCCCGTGGCTCAACCGCCCTTCCTCCACCGCGAGGCAGGCACGGCCGGTGTGGTCGTCTGCAGAATGATGGGAAAATCCGAAGACAGAGCACTGAGCAGTCTCCGCCGGGTCCCACGGCGGCTCGGCCAGGAGCCGACAGAGGAACCGAGCGTCCTGAATTTCAGGCTGGCGGATCAGCTGGGAAACAGGAAACAGTCACACAGGATAAAGTCGGATGCGGTCACTGCACAGCCTGGATGGGACTTCGAATAGCGCACACGCACGCACACACACAAGCATGCATGCACGCGCACACGCACGCCGTTTATCCCTTCCGGAATAAAGTGCAAGTTCATTTCAATAGTCGTACAGCGGTCACTGCACAGCCTGGATGGGACTTCGAATAGTGCGCACGCACGCACGCACACACACACACGCACGCACGCACACGCACGCCGTTTGTCCCTTCCGGAATAAAGTGCGAGTTCATTTCAATAGTCGTACGTTGTGTATGTGCGCGTTTGTGGGATGACGGCATCTTTACTTTTTTCCATGCGTTCGTAGTAAAGGCGAAGACACGTGGTCAGAGCCTGATGCCTTTCGCTGCCCGGTCTCCCATCTCAGAGTCGGCCGGACTGACCGTGTGAGCTCAAGCCGGCCAGTTTGCTCATCAGAAAAGCCCAGAGCCAGTCGCTGGGCCCTCTGTGGGGTGCCAGTGAGCGTCCCCTGTCCTAACTACCCACGGGAGCTTTTCTCAAGACTCCCGCCAGCGTTCCGTTTCTCCTGACGGGAACCCCGGGAGGGCGGCTGCTTCACACACCCCTGGGGTCTCCCTTCTGTCCATCAAGCGAACATTCCAAAATTTCGAAAGTCCTCAGGACGCCACGCGCGGCCCAGCCTGACACAGAGACCGTGGACGGGAGCTGGGTGGCATCAGGTGTGATCTTGCTGGGGGTCCCACACAGCCGTCCACCGACGACCATGCAGCCCCGTCTCCTCCCTGTCCCCACCGCCAGGACCCCCAGTGTGGGTACAGAGTCTGGCTTCCTCCAGCTTCTCTGGTGCCACAGGCATAGCGCCCAGGGCCGTGCGAGGGTGTGCCCGGTGACAGGGTCAGGCACACGGAGTGGGGGGGGGGGAACAGCTACACTTCCGCCCAGCACTCACGGTGCCCGTCGTGCAGACACGGGGTATCACAGACTGTGTCACCGACCATCAAAATCGGTGTCCCGGAAACAAAAAGTGAGCTGAAAGTCAAACTCTGTGCAGAGGGGACCAGCCATTAAGTTCTGAATGCAGAAATGCTTGTCCAGCCCATTAGCCACAGCTGGAAAGTCCAGCTTGCTTATGTGACCCGTCGATGAAAGCATTCGAGGGACCAGAGGTGACATTTACAGTGCACCTAGAAATTGAGCCACACAGAGACACAAGCCTGACCCTGCCTGACCCTCCGAAGGACGCGCGGACCTCAGTATTGTGCTGCTTCACCAGCCTCCCACAAGATGTGGAGACAGAATCTCCGTGCTCCGGTGCCACGTCTGATTGTGCGTCGTGTTCCGAAGGTGCGCATCAGCTGTGCCATAACCCAGTGACAAAAGGACAGAACTGTGTGATTCCACTTACGTGAGGTCCCTAGAGGAGTCGGAGTCATAGAGACGAGAGTGAGATGGTGGTGCCAGGGGACAGGGGACAGGGAGGGGAGTGAGCGTTCAGTGGGGACAGAGTGTCACTTTGGGAAGATGGACAGTTCAGAAGATGGTGGCAGGGACGGCTGCACCACAAGGCAGTGATACCTGATGCCACTGAGCCGCGCACTTAAAAACAGTTATGGCAGTAAATTCTGTGTCATGTGCATCTTTACGCAATGAAAAACTTTTTCCAGTGATTCACGGAGTCCTTGCCTGTCCTTTGGCCTAAGTTGAGGAGTCCTGCTTTGTGCCCCCAGAGCCCCAGCTGTCCCCATAGGCACATTTTCCTGTTCGTTTATTTTTACCAGATTGTAAGCAGAATAAAGCACACTGTATGCCTCACCCCATTTATCACTGTGCTCAACTCGGTGCCACTTAATAATTTTTAATGAATATTGAATGACTAAAGCCCAGATTTCCAGATTCCCAGCCCACCAATCCTCATTCTAGGGAAACATGATTGTTTCAATGGCGAATGCAATTTGCAGTTAAAGGGCTTGAAAGTATCAGACGACTGATGGTCCGAGTCTTGTAGGCGGTAACGCTGGGTAAGCGGAGTGGGGTCAGAGTGCCTGACCCGCCTGAAATGCAGGTCGTATCGGAGGTGGGGGATCCCCACGCACCCCCGAGACCACCCTTGCTGGGTCCGGTAAACGCGCGGTGGAAACGCAGACCACGCCGCTGGGTATAGATTTTCCGTGAGTGCCGTTTACCGGCACCTTTCTGTTTAACACCCTGGTTTTCCTCTCTCCAAACCAGATATTTATCTTTGAAAACAACATCTACTACTGCGCGCACGTGGGCAAGCAGGCCATCCGCGTGGTGTCCACGGGGAAGGAAGGCGTGGTCTACAACGGCCTCAGCGACTGG